TTTACTACCAAGTTTCAAGCCTCCTTTTCAATCTGTACACAGGTATCAGTCGCTTCAAGCAGAAAGAGAGTACGTTTCTGCACTTTTCGTTCAACACATATGCAAGATCAGCATCTCCCCACCATCAGCAGGTGTCCATCGATGGTTCGTGCACAAGGTACCCCCAATTGTATATTTTCTCTTTTATGGTTTGTGCAAAGGAATTGATGAATCTCAGTTTACAAATAATTAGGGCTCCTCTCCATGTTTTGATCTGCTAGGCTATTTTCCTGTTGACTGTACAGTACTAAGATCTGGGATCATTTCCTTTTATATATGTGGACACCGACTTTCCTTCTCTCCGATCATATTGAAACAAAAAAAGTGCCCGTGCCATGACCAATTGACCATAACATAGTAACAGATCAACTCTCTACTTGATAATTTTATATGAGACGATTATATTTCCATATTTCTTATAGGATACATGATACTACATGCTCTGTTGTTTCTCTACCCTTTTGGAGAATGGGTAACCTTCCACCTCAATTTCATTAAGGTTTCAGGAATATATTGGATTATGTGTTGTCTTACAGGCAGCCGCTACCTATTGAATATTGATTGTTTGGTTGAAGAAAACACCATGCGAGTGGTCCCGAAACTCTCTAACTGGTGTTTGGATTTTGTGATTTGCAGAGCCGCGGCATGCTCATAGAGTGTAAGAGCTGAATAAGGAGTCACCTGATCCCTGAAAGAGCCAAGGTATTGTTGGTGTCCAATCATACACATAGTGTAATTCACCCTATAATTGTATGATTGTTTTCTTAGGTCGGTTTCTTTATTACTAGACATAGTATTATGCGGCAACATATTTTGTTTTTTTTTCAAAAGATTCAGTGTAGTTCACCCTATTATTACTTCTATAAGTTATCCCATTGGAATGCTTTTGCCTTACCGTTTATTCCTTCCACTAAAAAGATGAAGTGGAAGAGGTAGATGCTTTACATAAAAAAAATTGTGACTCGATTTGCTACACTACATAGGGCATGCTTACCCTGATGTTTATGAAAAACACATGCTCAGATTTTCCTGATAGTAAGCAGGTTGGAATGCCTGAGAGTAAACAACACACCATGTTTACTAATTTAGTTTCTCATTTTTCCCCTTCTGTTGGCAAATTTATATCCTTTAATCTTTCTCCTAGGCTGATTGTTTTCCGGCTGCCTTTTGACATAATGTTCCAATCACAATATGTCTGATTATTTACTTGCATGATGAATGTTTCAAGCTAGATTGGTCACTGTATCAATGATATCAACTAATTAGTTTCTTTGGTTACCTGTCCATTATTTACTTACCTGATGGATGTTGTCTTCGGAGGATAGAATAGGACAATGCTGGTAAAATGGTTTTATTGGGTCAGTTTGCTCAGCCCTTACAACAGTGATGATTATGATAGACCCTTAATGTTCTTTTAAATTGTCATGGTTACGAGTGCTGATTTTTACGCCCAAGAAAAAAAATGTACCTCAACCTTTTTCCTTTCGCATTTACCTTCTGAGCATTTACCTATACTTCTTTAATTACTTAGACCTTAGTTTTGTGAGCCAGCTTTGTTCATGGTGTCTATGATGCTTTCTTTTATTATCCTTATCTTTATCTCCTACAACTAAAAAGAACAAAGCGTGGACATTTTTTGGTGCGACATTTGTTTTGGGGCTGTTTGTTTTGTTCTCAAGCAGATCGTCCTGCACTTTTCTTTATGTCAGCTTGAAAGAAATATGGTATTTCTGAATTGGGGATCTAAGGAATGAAAATTAATCAGCATGGCCTTTTCTTTTTGTTACTTCACATAGATCTATACAATAGTGATGGAGGCATCACGTTCATATTAGGCTAGCTATGTTTACCATGCTTATAGACCTTAGGTAGTGTTTTCCCACGTTTTCTCTTGAGCGTGAACTCCTGTTCACCAACCTGCTAACTTGTGATTGTTTAGCTTGATCCACTTGTAGGATGTATATTTCAGGTACATCATGTTACTACTAAATTAACCTGACCATGCATGCTTGGTTGTTTCATGAACATGCTTTTACCATCTCAACTATTATATGGAAGAATGAAATGATCAAAGAAAGGACTTGCCCTGGCTTTTGGATTTGTTTTTCTATATGTACTGATTCATGTTAAGTCGTGTGATGGAATCAATGCTTCAGACTTAGTCATGAGGTCATGTCTATTCGGTTGGAATATCGATTATAAATTTGTTAGATGCAAATCAAGCTTTATGGAATAATTCAGTACAAATAGGTACTGTCAGTATGCCAACAAACAGTTTCCCTCTTGTGTAAATTGTATTATGTTTTAATATATTTCATTTTAATCTTTTCATATTCAGATTCGAACGATTAAAGCTTAGATGGGAGGAGGAGGTGTACGACGAGCCGATGCCATGGAGGCCTGTCGCTACATCATCAACGAGCTCAAGGCGTCCGTGCCCATCTGGAAGAAGGAGGTGTACGACGACGGCGAGGTCTGGAAGGAGAACCGCGAGTTTTACAACTTCTACAGAATTATTGGAATCTTCGGTTGCATATCAGTATCATAATCAGGATAGCTTCTCCTTATAAAACATGATAATACATAAGCACGTGATATCCAGATAATATGGCTAACTGTTGGTTGCTAAATGTGATAGATTTTAGCTATGACAGTTTCTGTCAATCAAGTGAAAATTAGGTGCAGTTATGGTTTTTGAACATCACTGAATGTTTAGCTACAATTTGAAGAATTTTTAATCCTCTATTTGTTTGTCTTTGCAGGCCCATAGTTTCACTTGCGTATCATTTGTAAGTTGATCCTATAAACTTTTAGATAAACATATAGACGCTAACTGTCTTTTATTTGATGGTTATTGTTTCTGTTTTACCTTATTGGACGTTTTCCACATGTATGCCTATGTTAGAGCAATTAAAAAATTTGCTGTGGATGATCAGCAATGGCTCACGTACTGGGTGCTGTACTCATTTATCACTCTATTCGAGCTCACCTTTGCTCCAGTACTCAAATGGTAAAAACAACAATCTTTCTACAAAAGTGCATATTTCATCATAGCTTTAGTTTTATGTGCACATTCCATCTTACCTTGATTTCTTTGCTATTGACCATCTCTGGTTCGTTCACTGCTATAGTGCTCTATCATGATTTGGCTGATAATTTTTTTGGATACATCATGAGATGAATGGAAATGCTCATCACAGGCATAACTTTTGCACTTTGTAGGCTCCCTTTCTGGTCTTACGCAAAACCGTTTCTCAATTGCTGGTTAGTATTGCCATGGTTTAATGGAGGTGCACATGTATATGAGCATTCTGTGAGGCCAATGATTGTAAATCAGTAAGTTTGTGTGCTTCTGGTATATTCCAACGAAGGATGAATCAAGTAGGCATGATGATGTAATTTCAGCTGCACAGAGATACATTGAGCAAAATGGATCAAAAGCGTTTGAGAATCTTGTTAACAAGGTATTATCTGTTTCCTGTTAAATATACCATTCTCATTTGTGAAAATGGTGGCCACTTGGCACCAGTTAGTTTGCTTGTGCCGTGAGAAGCACAGCAAAGTGCCTCTACAGTCTACAGTGATGATGATGGCCTAATGATTAATGGTATTGCAGTGTGGTTTTTTTTTCTATGCATACTATGGAATTTTACAGTAGAGTTGGTGAGCTTGCGACGCCACGCTCTCCGTGACTATGTTAATTTCACGAACTTTGCTTTTCGGATTGAATGTCACTTTAACGTCAGTATTTAATTTTACAATATTATTATCTTATCGTGCGATCCGTGTGTTTTTAGTATAAAAGTTTAGTTATCCCATAGCAACGCACAGACAGGCTACCTAGTCAAGTCAAAGATTTGACAAACCATGATTTTGGCTATTGTTTGATTAGCTATTAAAATTTATCAACCTTTCACATTTAGCTTGCTAAATCTATAGCAGAGTTTTTACCTAACTTTGGTATGCCATATCTTTAGCATAGCATAATTTGGCCGTAAACCAATCAGGCCCTATTTAGTTCCCTCCATTTTCCAGAATCCAGATTTCCAAATTTTTTACAATCCCAAATCCAGAATCCAAGAATTCCCATGCACCTGTTTAGTTGCACCCAAAATCCAAGAAATCCCAAATCACATATTGCCTCATCCCTGGTGGCGTCGATGCTGCCGTAGCTGTCGTCGTCGCCATGGAAGAATACGTCGCTGCTGTACCCATCCATGCGGGCAGTGCAGCAGCAAGATCCCGCTGGGGCGGTGGAGCAGCAGCAAGATCCCGTTGAGGTGGTGGAGAAGGGAAGGGACGAACGGTGGAGTGTAGCAAGGGAGGCGGCCAGGCAAAAGTCGGAACTGGGCCCTGGATTCGCTCCTCGGCGTCCCGATCCGCCTGCGCCCAAATCGAGCGAGAAAGCACGCGGACGAGCCGTGTATAACGCGGGTCGGTGCTCTCGCTGACGGCGCAATGACGGACGGCAGGGGGCAGCCTCGGCCGGAGGCACAACGACAATGGGCGGAGAAGGAAGGACCCAAGCGGTGGAGATGGGGAGGAAACCAGAAGAGGAGGGAGGCGTTGGGGCCGAGCCGCGGGTAGGGTTGAGGCGAGTAGCGAGTGGGAGAGAGCGCGGCGGCTCCCGATCGGGCGAAAAGCAAAGGCGGCAAGCTCCGATCCGAGGCGCCGGTAGGGTTCGGGGCGGTCGCGAAGCGGCGGCGATTAGAGGCGATGTGGGCGAGGAGCACGTGCACCAGGCCCAAGTTAGGCTTATTTTGGCCTCTGGACTCCAGAATCCAGAATTCAGAATGGGTATGTGTTTCCAAAAAATTCTGAGTGGTGTTTAGATCCATTTCCCAGAATGTTGGGCTAAAATCCAGAATATTTTAGGTTTGACGAGGAACTAGACAGGGCCTCAGGCTCCTTATCCGGGGAGGAGCTAACTGATGACACGTGTGCAGCCCGCTGTCGCTGGCATGGCCTTAAGCAAGAAACCTGTTCGGCTGATGGTCTGATAAGGCGACTGACGCTGTTTTACCGTGAGAAAAATAAAAAACACGGTGTAAGGTCTCGTAAGTTCAAACGAACAGAGCACAAGACTGCAAGAGTCAAAGACGGCAGCACCACACCACACCACACTCTCAAGCCTCGACACTACGAGACGCCTCGCCGGCCGCGCCGCCCCCAACTCCTTTGATCCTCTTCTTGCAACCCCCCCCCCCCCCCCCCCCATCCCGCGGGAGACCTCCGACGTGGTCCGCCTCGCCGCCTTCTACGAGGCCGTGCTGGGGTTCGAGCGCATCCCTTCGCCCACCTACTCGGGCTTCCAGGTCGCCTGGCTCCGCCTCCCGAGCTCCCCCGACGTCGCGCTCCACCTCATCGAGCGGAACCCAGCCGCGGCACCCGTCGCGGTGGAGCCTGGCGCCGAGGGCGCGCCGCCGTCGCAGCTGCCCCGGCGCCACCACCTCGCCTTCTCCGTCGCCGACTACGACGGGTTCGTGACCGGGCTGAAGGCGCGCGGCACCGAGGTGTTCGAGAAGACGCAGCCAGACGGGCGCACGCGCCAGGTCTTCTTCTTCGACCCCGACGGTGAGAGGATAGAGACGCCCTACTCGTTTCATCTCAATTTTTACTGTTTTTGGGGTGATCAAGCGAGGTTCCCCGCTTTTGGGTCGATTTTTGTCATCGTCAAATTGATGAAAAAAACTGGTTCATGCTTGTTGCAATTGGCTAGAGAATTGTAGCTCTTCAAGAGTCCACAACTTGGAAGTTCTGAATTTCTGCTAAATTTATGGTTACCTGCAAGTCTTTTGGCCTGTTTGTTTGGAGCTCCCGGAAGCCAAAACCCCAAAAGCTCACTTTAGTGAGCTTCTGACTTATGGAAGCTGAAATGGCCAAAAGTTCAAACAAACAGGGTTTAAACCTTCGTTGACCTGAGTACAGACTAGTAGCTACAAAAGTTCAATACTAGTATATTCTATTGAGTTAGACACAGGCTGCTCCTACAAAAGCTGTACAAAAGAAATCCTATGACCTGTTGCTTCTGAGGGCGTGTTTGGATGAGGGGATTGCTCAAGGAATATCCGAATATTAGGATCTAGCTCAGCTTCGGCCTCATTCTTTAAGGATTTGGACTGGTCCCTGCTACCAAGTTGGCTCTACTGTCTGTTTGACAGCATAATGGTATTCAAGTTTCATGTTCTTTCCATTGTTAGTTCCATGTTTTTACTAACGTGTAAAATGATATGAAATCTTCTCAGTAATTGCAGCATTTTTATTAGAATGGGTACATCAGTTCATGACTTTTTATTAATTGCAACATCTAAAATTTTCAGTTGTTGTTTCTTCAATTCATTCACTATTAAGTAGTGTTGTCAGTACTTACATTGGCACATCAGTTCATGACTTTTTATTAATTGCAACCTCAATTTTTCAATTGTTGTTTCTTCAATTCATTCACTAATAAGTAGCATTAAACTAGTAACTATTAAGTACGGAAATTTGACCTAGTTGGTTCGAATGCAGTGGGCTTGCCTTGATTTCAGTCCATGAGTTCTGCTATCTGTATAGCTTGTCTATTATGATGTTCTTCAGAATATTTGCAGAAGTTTTAGGAATGTGTATGTTGTATGGCCTACTTACAGAATAAGTATTTGGTGCTAACTTGGGCTTTTTAAGTCGTGTTAGTTTTTTGTTTCCCTTGGACTTCGGCTAGAGCTATGCATTTTCTTTTTCTTTTCGACTTTGGCTAGGGCTATGCATTTTCTTTGAGCAACCTATGCAGAGTAGAAGGGTCAATTTGCTATTGGCAACCAGAGAATATCCTTAACTAAACTATGCATCGCGTGCCTGATTATGATCAAATCCATTAAGGTGTCCTGTGTACTTTCTGATCAACTTGTTTTCGACATACTTGCATAAGTGCTGCTAACTAGGTTCTCTTAAAAGTAGCACACATGTTTGGAAACAGGATTCTAATTTATAAACAGTATACACTTTGTTAGCTGCCTTCCTGGTGCCAGTTTCACGTAAGCAGTGACCCTATTTGTAAATTCACTATTTGTAACACTTTTTGATTAATGGCTTTTAGGATAAATAAATGGTGAATTAGCATTTGTTTACCTTTTCTTGTTTCGCACACAAGGACACCTACAACTCTCTGATTTGGTTCTGTTGCAGGCAATGGCCTAGAGGTTACTAGCGCTGGTGCAGGCAATGATATGTGAACAGAGACCATGATTTGCAGTCTACTTCTATTTTATCGTGTAAGCTCATGTTTTTATTTCATGCTATTTGTATCTGATGCTCCTTGGTTTCGTGCTGGCACCCATTGGAAACTGAGGCAGTTGATGTGCTATAGTATCGCATTTGTTTCTACTTTTTGTTCCTTTCTGGTTCTTGTACATGCATATGATTGCTAATTGCCGATACGATTTATCTTGTTTTATGTGGATTGGTTGCAGGCAATACCTCGGCAAACACTGCCTGCAAAATGCGATGGAAACCGGATATGTTCTTGGGTCAAGCTTCGTTTCGTAAAATAATTAAATCCGAAGCTCATCAAAGCTCTGCTCACACTGTTGTTTGGTTGAGACAAGGGCCTGCGTTCTTGCTGCATCTCATCCAAGATGATTGTAATCCTAACAATGTCTAGTTAATAAAGATCTCGCTTTGCCCTCAAAATGTTGTAAGATGTAACATCGCTCTGTTCGTGATTGGACAATTGGCAAATGAAGTCTGAATACTTTCCTTGTCATTCTCGTCTCAATGTTTCAGTTCCAGAACTGAAGCATCATTAGCCACCGAAAGTGGAGATAATTCGCAGTATGCTACCAAATGTTGGGAAATGTTCGATTCTGACACAAGAAATTTGACAATGAGGCATATCATCACAATATCCATTCTCGAGAAAAGCTCTGTCACTAGTACTACTAATCAACAAGAGCGGCGTACATGTCTCGGGGGCCATTATTACAGTGCCGGAGGTCGATGCCTGGTCGGTCTGCTTGTCACCGGCGGGGCGTCAGTCGTCGGCGGTGGCGAGCTGGACCTTGAGCAGCTCGTCCTCGGGGATGACGCGGATGGTGCAGTCGGAGCGCGGGTAGGCGGCGCAGAGCAGCGCGTACCCCTGCGCGACGACGTCGTCGCTGAGCATGCCGTCGCTCTGGTCCACCACCCCGGAGACCAGCCGCGCCGGGCACGTCATGCACACGCCGAGCTTGCAGTCGTGCGGCACGTCCAGGCCCTCGTCCAGCGCGCGGGACAGGATCGTCTCGTCCTCCTCCACCTCCACCACCCGCGACGCGCCGCCGTGCTCGATCGTCACCTTGTACGCCCGCGGCCGCTGCGCGGTGGCGATGCGTGCCCCCGGCGGCCGGCGGCGAGGCAGCTGGGAGGTGGGGAGCCGGACGCTGAGGTGAGTGGAGCGAGTTGGGGTCGGGGTGGCGAGGTGGAGCAGCGATGCTGAAGCAGCGGCCATGGTGTGCGCCGTGCGCGTGCGCCGGAGGGTGTGACTGGGAGTGAGAGGGCGGTTTGTGGCTGAGGATAAGGCTGTCTTCCCGTTTTTAATTTCTTGTTTTTTCCTGTTCTTTTTTCTTGTAATACCAGGAGCCATCGAATTGCCCTGCCCTGAGTGTACTCTATAGCCTATAGGTTACCGATCGTAAAATCCATACGAGTACGTGAAAATATACTAGTAAAAATTTACCAAATTGCCCGCTAGTGTTTAGGGGCATACAATACGACTGTCAAAACACTATTCTCATGAAAACCCAGAGCTGAAAAAAATGCAGAATTTTAGTTTGGATCCTCATTGAAAAAAGGATCCTAGCTGCATATAACTTAGAGCATCTCCGATAATTTCCAGAATCCACTCCCAATCTTGTTATTTTTATAAGATTAAAAAAGTGCTTTCCAACGACTCTCTATCACAGAGCATCTCCAATAGTTTTAAAAAAATTAATTGATAAATCAATGATTTTTCAAGTGGCTAAAAAAAGTTAGGAGCATATTGTTGGGTTCTCCAATAGTTTCTAAATCTAGCTCTTAAAATATAAAAAATAATTTTGCATCAGAAATCTCAGATTATTTTGAAATTACCCAAAACTACTTTTATACTTTCTTTCTCTCTTCTACATTGTACTAGCGTATACCCGTGCGTTGCTACGGGAACCTTAAAATTTTGAATGCAATTCAACACAATAAAAGTAAGAAAAAAAATTGTAGGTTAGGAGCCTCAAATTTTCAACGCAATAAGAGTATCAAAAAATAGTGGGTTGAAATGAAGACAAATAAATTTTAACTTGGCTTAGCAACATACTGTTTCAAGCCACGTTCAAATAAATAAGCGTCAAATTTAGTAACAATATCAAAATAAGTGCTTATTTTTTTTATTGGTAGCTTCGGTGACTTGATGCTTATTTTTTTTTATTATGACATGACTCACGTCGCCTCTTATTTTTTTCATCCCTCTGTTCTTGGGACATTGCATGCCATCGAGCTCTATCCTTTTCCCTCTTGTGGTCTTTAGCATCAACTGGTGATAGTTTTAAAAAGAAATCGATATAACATATACATAGGAAACACAATGGAATATTCGATAGCATGTTGCATTCTGTAACCTTCTTTAGTTGTGTTAGTCTTGTCTCCCAATGGCGCTCGAGAACCACTATTTTGCATTGTATTAATCTGTAATAGGAAGAGACATGGCCAGGTTGTAACAACTAAGTACTGAAGGACAAAGTAATCCATGGACACATGATTGTAGGATCTCTATCAGTTAGATGAACAAGTAGAGCAAATAACATGAACCGTTAAACCAATGGTTCTAGTTGACCTCATATTGTTTTTCTATGCACGGGTGCAAATTGAGACTAAAAAGATAAGTCAGGATGGCTGTTGAGATGGCTAGGATTGTCAGGAATCATTGACCAACATGATGAAAGATATCCAGCCTTTTTCAGCAACTATGTATACACTAAATAAGAAATTCTATTTATATGAACATAACCACATCACATAGACTTATGAAGCAGGTTTTGTGTAGCATATCAGTGCTCTATAATCTGGATATCTTTAAAACATGACTGGAATAAACATGAGTTATCTACAGTCCAATGTACTGAGAAATCTCCTTAAGTGTTTCTTTGGTCGGCACCTCGTTGTTGGCCAATGTTGGATGGCCTGACTTGATCTTCTCTCTACTCGATCCCTTTACAGGTTTTTACAATCACAAACCTGTTATATGAACACCACGAGGTCAAATGACGTGTAACCAGATACCAATTTCTAATAAATATTCCATCAGACATGATTAATAAAAACACAACAGTTTCTCTGAACAACACTTTTTTCAAAAAAAAAAACAGAACTATCAAAGATAATAAAAAAAATAGGATTCCATCAGAGTATCACATCAGCATCTGTAGTATCATTGGATTATCAGAAAACCACATTGTTGGGTAAAATGGAATTTGGAATGTCCTTTTGCATCAGTTAATAAAAAAGAAACATTATTTGTTCTGACTCGACTAATTACAGGAGGCATACTGTAATGTTAAAAAAAAGGGGAAAAGATTCACGGTCCATGGCCAAATCTAAATTACATGAGGCATGCTGTGCTATACAGCCAAGCGTAAATTACTTACACCATACAGTCTCTTACTTATAGGGTCTGTTTTTTTTTGTTTTTTTTTTGTTTTTTTTTGCTAAATGATAGGTTGGTGGCATTCCTAGACCTGAAGAATGCTATGCCTACATTAAGCCTGCCAATATAGAATTTTTCAGGTGAAGTCTGCAGTCCTCCCTCCCAACCATTTCCCCTCCTATCAGAGACATCAGAAGGAACAATTTTCGTATAAATACATGAGCAGCAATGTCCCGATGTTACCACCAAATGACTGTCAATTCTGGATTCTTAGCAAAACAGCAAACAGGTCCCCTTGAGAAAAAAAAAAAAAAGAAGAACTAAATTTAATGATTATTGCCACGATACATATAATGGTTATTGTATTACACCCATTGTCCACAAATTCAATAACTGTGCTAATTTATAAGTTTGGACAGGTCACTCCTAATTTATAAGTTTGTGCATAATTTAAGATTATGACTTTTGAGGCAGGGCCAGCCCAAAATGGCATTAAACCACTTCTAATCGATTATGGATGTAGAATTGGCACTGACCAGGCATTTTCATCTTCCTGGGCACTAAGGTTCAGATTCTTAAGCGACAGTTCATCAGGGGAAAGGGCCTCAAGATCAGACAGAAATGATCCTTTGCCTAGTCAGTGGTCATAGGGACAACTTTTCGAAAAGAAGTCCTGCCCCTGATAGCCGCCCCTGTTAGGACACTATCAGGTTCTGCCATCTTAACTTCAGTTGCCTGCCATCTTAAAATAGGCACTCTCTCTTGTTCCATCCATCCATGGGAGTGAAAGGGGCAATAGAGCAATATGATGGACAGTTTTCAGTATTCCTGACAAATTCTGAAGAAGTTGATTTACTAAACTGCGATGGCCATATAAGCCCCTTTCGTTATAGAGCCTGGGAGATGTATATTCCTGACAAACACACATCAGTTCTTTGGTTTTGCTTTATAGAATTTTCTCAGAACAACACTCCATACCTCACGTGGCCTTAACTGATATTGATGCAAGCATTTTTTTTCTTTTCTAGACTGATGTATTTTAACTCAGTCTGCATTATGCAATGCTTGCTGGCAATCATTGGTATGTGTTCTTTAAAAATTAAATGGAAACTTCAGTGACATCAGGGTATCAAAGATGGCAACCATGGACGATTGATGCAGAAACAGTCATGCAGCATGGAAACTCAGAAACAGAACAAAAGGCAAAAGAACAAAAGGGCAAAGCACACTTCATCAGGAACAATGGACCTCGACGAGCTTACCAGAGGCGCCTGCGAAGTGGAGGCGGCGGAGAGGCGGGCGCCGAGGCGTCGTCGCTCCTCGCGTCCGCAGCGGCGGCGGGGCAAAACGGAACGGCGCTGGAGCAGGCGAGGAGGAGCCGGCGCTCCTCGCTCCTCGCGTCCGTGGCGGCGGCGGCGAATGTAAGGGCGAGGGAGCAGGCGAGGATGCTGCTCTGATGTGGCCGGCCTGGACGCGGTGCTTGGGGCGGGGCTGGGGCTGGCTGCCGCCGCGCCGCGGACGGGGCGACGGGGCCGGGGCGTGCCGGCTCAAGGGCTGGGCGTCGCGCCGCCGCCGCCGGGGCTGGGCGCTCGCGAGCAGGGGGGGGCAAGCCGGGAGCGGCCGAGCAGCGAGCGGCGAGCGGCAGCGCCCAGCGGAGTCGCGCGGCGCGGGAAGTCGCGAGCGAGGCCGAGCGGATTGAGTCCGAACTCGGAAAAGGCGCGGCTCGGGACGGGATCTTGAGGAAGGCGTCCGGCAGCGACGGCCGGGTGGAGCGGCGGCGGCGGCGGGTGGAAGGTGGAACAGGGAGGCACCGTGATTTCGTATAGGCTTCACCACGGACGGGCGGGAATTTTCGGCGGAGCTTTCACCGCGGCCGAGCGGTAATTTTGGAGGAGAGGCTTCACCACGGTCCGGTAGACTCTGGGATAAACGCTGAGTATACAACCACGTATTTTATGCAGTTTTAACACATAAATTTTTTTCACCATAGAATTAAGATTCAACAGCATTCATCTTTCTTCTACCTTTAGCCTCCAGCCTCAACAGATCACATATCACAATTTTTTTTTCTATAGAAGGATAAATCACAGATCCGCCGCCGGGGTGAGCTCGCCGGTCTCCGTCGCCGGCGGCGGCGGTCACCGGTGAGAGAGAGATAAAAAAAATCCATGTGTTTTTTTTTTAAAACACATGTGTGTTGTATAGCATTTCTGTAAACCACAAGGAGGCTTCACAAAGACGCTGCCACCGGGCGCAATGCCTAAACGGCGGCGTTGAGCAGCTGGCCTTCTTCTTTGCTGGTGGTGGCGATGCTCCTCCACCGCCTGCGACACGACCCGCCGAACACCGCCACTGCTGCGCCCTCCGCCGCCCGCAGCGTCGCCCGCCGCAAGGCGTGCGGCGAAAGCGACCTCAACCACCTCACCCACGGGTGGTGGCGGCTCAACAACATGACACTTCACCGCCCCCGCGTGCTTTGCCGCTACCACTCTCCCTCCATGGAGTGTCCTTGACGTCTGTGGCGCCGCCTGCTGCTGCTCTCCTCGGTGGAACGACCTCAAACTACGTCGGCGCCTATACGCTACCGTCTCCACTCTCTCCCAGCAGTCATGGCTCGCTGCTGGCTGCTTGCTGATCGACCAAGCGCTGGGACCTGGGAGCGGGCAGCTAGGAGAGGGAGCGGCTGAGCGGGGAGCTGCCGCTGCGAGCAAGTGGCAGGGCAGGGATGCAGACTACGGAGCGATGCGGTGAGCAGGGCCCAGGGCCGTGGGGTGGGTGGAACATGGTGATTGGGGAGTCAACGTTGGTGGGGATCGAGGGATATGATTGGACTGGTGTGGGGCTGTGTGCGTGCGGGGCTGAAGGGAGTCGGACAGAATTGGAGCCGAGCGGGGACGGAGTGGTGTGAACGATTCTTGTTTCGTCTTGTTAGCGGGAGAGATTGGGAACCCTGTCCTTCCATTCACCTCTAGATTGACCCATCTATACGCACGTAACTGGATCGGTTTTCCTAAGTGCAGATAGATTAGGAGTTATTGGAGAGTTTTTTTAATCTTGCCAAAAAAAAATTAGGATTGGAAGTGGGGTTTGAAAACTATTAGAGATGCTCTCAACTTGCAATCTTTGCGCACTTGGGAAAAACGACCCAATTGTGCGGAAGCTATTAGTTAATTATATTCATTAACTAATTAATTTGGGGTGCATTGTGACTTGTGAGAACCAACTAGTATGTTGGGTTTGGGTAGGTCAGAAAAACTACACCAATAACAAGAACAAAAAGACGGGGGAAGCTAATAAGAAGACTAATTCTATATCATGTAGATGCCATGAAAAATTAATCTGAAGAGAACAAACAAATAAATCACTAATTCGTTAAGTTGCTAGTTAGGGGTCTACTATTATGGGGGCATTTAGGACGTTGGAAACCAGCCCCCTTCCCTCCACCACTGGTCACACTTGTCGCATGAACCAAACATGTCCCTAAGAACCAGTGACATGCCTAGTGTGTTGTGTAGTAAAAATTGCCAAAGCAACCAAATATGGATGACCCTTAGCTTATTGTCAGCTAGCCCGTATTATCAATCAGTTCCTTCCATATATCTACCTTATCTTGTACATGCGAGTGTAAGTAGTTGATTCAGGTGACGAAAGCAATCAATCTAAGCTTAAATTCTAAACTTGGCATATTTGCTTGTGTTTTCCTATATTTATTTAGGCCTTGTTTGAATGCACATGTATTCATCTTAATCCACAGTTGTTGAAGTGAATTGGAGTGAAATTAAACTAAGTTACATTTCAATCCACTCCAACACATGTAAATCGAAGTGGATACACATAAATCCAAACAAGACCTCAAGAAAGAAACAATACTACCATTTTTAGGGTAGGCGATATACATGTCAATAGTGAGATATAATGATTATCAATTTCAAAATATAGAGCTTATAGTCTACCAGATGTGCCGGTAAAATGATTAGAGTAAAAGTCTTTGTTCCAACGAAACAAAATACGCATTATAATGTTAGATGACAGTGCACACATTATGCTGATCGAGGATATATATAGTAGTATAGATACATGTGACACAAAATCATAATCATAAGTAAATATTTTTCATCATGAGTCTAGCAACCTAAATTATGTGTAAAAATATCATATATATTAACATAGAAATAGTTCGTCAAAGCTTGTTTTCACAAAACGAAATACGTCTTATATTTTTGAAATGAAGGGGCAACTGGGGCACTGGGCAACGGACTACCGACTATGGAGTAACTTGTACAGTATATGCTACCGCCCCTGCAAGCTACAACTATCAAACTAAGGTGTGCGAAGGAAAGACCAAGTACTGAGTGCATATAGATTACCAATTCGCTAGATAGGAAATGGGCATGGATTACTTATTAGCTGCTGTGTTGTTCGTGACCTATGTAACACGGATACGCCAGGGAGGTGCCGTATCCCGTATCGGATACGTATCCGATACGGATACGCGTCCGATACGTGATGGATACGTATCCAAAGAGTATCCGATTTTTTATTAATTTCGTGAATATTGAGTACGTCGGCCGATACGTATCTGCCTGTCCGATACGGCCCAGCCCAACAAACACTCGCGCACTCCCTTCCTCTGTCCCCAAAGCCAGCCCCGGAGCCCCCGACGCCCGCACTCCCGCACTTCACGCCGCCTCCAGCGAACACGCGCGGTGATGCCTCGTCCTGCTCGTTCCTCTTCTTCCCCACCCCTCTCTCTCTCTCTCTCCTGGAGGCCGGAGGTGCTCCTGAGCTCGGTGTGCATGGGGCGGCGGCTGCCGGCGGGTTCTCGGGCCGGGGGTGCGCGGATTCGGCGTCCTCTCGGCTGGATCTGCCGCCCCCGCGCCTGGGGCATCCCGTCCGGCCGTGAGGGTGCCCGGCGGCCCCTTTCCTTCCTCGACGGCGGCCATGGCACCGGCCTGGGCTGCCCGGACAGCGGATCCGGATCCCCAGCGGCTAGCGGCTGCCGGCGACGAGCCTTTGCCCCCGCTCGCCGGCGACGAGCCTCCGCCCCTGCTCGCTGGCCGCCGGCAACGTCTCTGTCCCCGCGACATGGATCCAGGCGTCCAGCGACCTCCCGTGAGTTCATCCCCTTCCCCGTTCTCGATCTACTATATTTCTGCAGTTCATGACTTATTGTTGCTTGATTTCTTTGGTCCGCACTTCCTCTTCCTCTGTCCATTCTCGATCTACTCTGTTTTTGCATTTCTTAATTTCTTCTTGATTTTCTTTGTATGCAGTGGATGGCGTCTGGCGTCTCCAAATATGAGTAGATGGCGTCTCCTTTTTCCGTTCTCGATCTACTCGATCTACTCTGCAGCTTGATGTTGTGGAATGTGGATGAGTGAAACAAATGAGGAAACAGGGAGTTGATGCGAGCCTGAATGCCATTTATTAATAGTAAAACGAATAATAGAACTTAAGTAGTTAAGTAGACTGCAATGTTTTATTGTTATTAGTTTTAATATGCATTATTATCTTTTTAATTTTAAAATAGTAAAACGTATCCGCGTATCGGATTTTTTAGAAAATTGCCGTATCCGCGTATCCGCATCCTCCCGATACCGATACGCGTATCCGTATCCGTGCTGCATAGTTCGTGACTTTGGCGCTAGCAACCTTGCTGCTCCGCTTGGTCTTGAGATTCGGGATCGGCGAGCTCTGCGATCCAAGGCTACCGCCGGGTTCGAGGGGCTTGCCGCTCGTCGGAGAGACGCTCGAGTTCTTCACCGCGTCCCCGACCCTCGAGCTGTTGCCCTTCTTCCAGCGACGATTGGAGACGTAACTAACGCAATATATATAGATCAAATGAAGAGGAAAAAGAAAAGAAAAGAAAACAGAACAGGAGCAAGAGTTTCAAATGCAGATACGGGCCGATCTTCCGGACGAGCCTTTGTCGGTGAGCAGTGGCGGAGCGTTCCATAGAAATAAGTTTTGGTTCTAAACTACATGGTCTATGAAACAGAGCCGAACGAGTGTGGGCGTGGGGGCGCCGCTGGCCGCCGGCCGGGGCCGATGATGAGTCGGCGAGTCAACTAGGAAGGCCGCCGCGAGGCATCGACAGCTCCGGCCTCTGGCTTCTGGCTCGTTGCCTTATCGTCGTCTGTGAGCCTCCACCGGCCGTCTTAGGCACTCGGTGGATGTGGATTATTTTCTTCTCCTTTGCTTTGCATGTTGAGCAATGTTTGGCTCCTGCGTGCATAATGGGCTGGCTTGTATGTGGCCGGTGGCCCATCGCCTATGTCTTGTGGGCTGAATTAGCTAGCCTAGCCATCTAGACTTGCACAACAACACAGATATGTTGCACAGCAGCATAGATCTTCATTTTTTTTTGCATGGGGAGGGGGGGGGGGCGGAGCCCTCTATGGCCATAACGTGGCTCTGCCGGTGTCGGTGAGGACCTGTTAGCAACATAGAGAACTGAGAGGAATTTGGGATAGGTAGAACAGCAATATAGGTTGGTTCAGATAGCAATACGCAATGCAGAAGGGAATTTGGGGAAGGAAGCACAGCAGGAGGACAGGATTAGACGAAGCTGAGTTCCTTTAGGGCCTGTTCGGTTATCAAGTATTAGACAGTGGGAACAATTCTAACCTGGAATATTGTGCTAATTTATACTATCTTTGATCATAGTGAATGATTCCGGGAGGAAATAGGGCTAAACGAACAAGGCCTTAAGAGGGATAAGTTTCAGTTCAAAGTGTTCATGCCGATTACAGGGCGCTCTGCGCCTTTTATCCGTTCGCAGACGGCGGGGTCGGCAGCTGACTTGGTCACGCTTCCTGAAGAGCTTGGACCCAGGCTGGGCCGGATACCTTCGGGTTGTGCCTCTTGATGCGACGCGGGCGAGAAGTAGACAGCCCAGACTCAATGCCGCTTCCATCATCTTCCTCGGCAGGGCTCGTAACAGGACCTGATGGTGTCGCTCGACCCGGAGTTGAGCACGCGCGTGCTGCAGGAAGAGGAGCGCGCCTTCCAGATATGGTACCCGCCGTCCTTCATGTGGGTCTTAGGCGCCGACAGCATCATCACCGCGCTGGGACCTCTCCACCGCCACATCAGGGCGCTCGTGCTCCGCCTCTTCGGCCCCGAGAGCCTCCGTCTGGTCCTGCTACGTGACGTGCAGCGGAGCGCGCGCTCCGAGCTGCGGTCCTGGCTCCGGCTGCCTGACGTCGAGGTCAGGGCGGCCACCTCCAGGGTATGTATATGTTTGCATCTCTCTCTGTGGACGCTGCAATTCTAACAGTCTTCTTCATGCTTACCACGTACTACCTATCCGGCATGCGCAGATGATATTTGGCGTGACGGCGAAGAAGCTGATCAGCCACGACGACGCGGCCTCGGAAGGGAGCCTGTGGAAGTGCTTCGACGCGTGCACCAGGGGGCTGCTGGCGTTCCCGCTCTGCGTTCCTAGCACAGCCTTCTACAGATGCATGCAGGTAAACTAGCCATCTTTTTTTTTTTGAGATCGTACCTTGGCACGCTTTTCATTAAGCATTAGGTAAACTAGCCATCTAGCATACACACAGATAACTATCAGCTGTCTGCCCTTTGATCAGTGACAATTTTGGAGTTGTTTGATTCATCTCTTCAGGGACGCAAGAGGGTGATGAAGATGCTGAAGGCGCAGCTCGGTGCACGCAGGAACGAGCCAGAGCACGAGGCGGTGGATTTCTTCGATCTTGTGATCCACGAGCTGGACAAGCCAGACTCTGAACTGAACGAGAACATCGCGCTGGACTTGCTGTTTCTGATGCTCTTCGCTAGCCATGAGACCACGTCGATTGGACTGACCGCGATTCTCAAGTTTCGGACAGACAACCCCAAAGCATTGCAGGAACTAACGGTAAGCAAATTGTTGGGTCCACGACACCAATTGAAATTGTTGCCGTCAGCATTGATTTTTTTGATGCGGTGTTTTCAGGAAGAGCATGAAAATGTCCAGAAAAGAAGGGCAGATCCAGACTCTGATGAAATCACCTGGGAGGAGTACAAGTCTATGAAATTCACATCTCATGTATGGTCATAACTGTCAGAGATCGATGTTCTCTGTAAATTTGAAAAAATGAACTGCTTTTTGGTTCTACGCAGTGATTTTTTCCTGTGCATTGATGTGCTTTCTACATCACATATATTAGGTTATACACGAAGCCCTTAGGCTGGCAAATGTTGCTCCTGTAGTGTTCAGAAAAAAAAACAATACAGGATGTACAGATAAACGGTATGCATCTTCCCTTTTTTCACCATGTGTGTGTTCAGCAAAATATTCAGCTACATTTTGAACGTACTTCAGTATATACAGCGGCGGAGGACGAAAAAAAGGTAAGGTATGGCAAAATCGAGAAATATATAGCAAAGTACAATACAAAATTTTAAATGGTTTGTACAGACATAAGATGTAGTGATCGTCAAATACAAAATATAGGAGTAAAAATATTTAGGATAAATAGAAAGATGCAAGTGAAGTCATCATGAATAAACAAACAAACCGAGTCATTCGCTGAGAGATACGAGCGACCACGCACTGCAGTCTACGGCAGGCCGCAGGCACAAGGCAATATCTAAACTAACGCCTTGTTTAAATTCAGGCGTAAAATTTTGGTCGTCACATTAGGTGTTATATGAGGTGTCGTATGAGGTGTTTGGATACTAATAAAAAAATAAATTACAGAATCCATCAGTAATCCACGAGACGAATTTACTAAGCATAATTAATCTATTATTAGCACATGTGTTACTGTAGCATCACATTGTCAAATCATGGACTAATTAGGTTTAAAAGATTTGTATTGTAAATTAGTCGTAAACTGTATAATTAGTTATTTTTTAGTCTATATTTAATACTCCATTCATATATTAAACATTCAATGAATTAGAGAGTAGATTTTAGAGGAAAAACTAAACGAGGCCTAAAGGCATCATATAAGCTGCCAGCCCAAACTCACAGCCAAGGCCCAAAGTAACGGTTCGACACAGACACACGGTGGCAGTTATCTTCTTCCTCCGTCAGCGCCGCGTTCATCTTCAGGCGACTCGCAACCTTGCATCCATGGCTGCCAAGGGGCAACGCGCCGGCGACTCGGGGCGGGGATCCACTGCAGAGTCAAGGTAGGGCTACCGGGTCCTCCGCCACTGAGTATATATGTTATTTCTCAGAAGTGATCCATGCTCTAGTCTATCCATCCATTTATGTATAGTGCTTACTTTGAAATTCTACGTCCAGATTACACTATACCACAAGGATCAAAGGTTATGATCTGTTCATCTGCAGATCACCTGAACCCGAAGGTTTACGAGAACCCTTCAGTGTTCAACCCATGCAGATGGAAGGTATGTTGAATGCAGAATTTCGTGTTGATTACAATATCAAACTCACATGTATGTTTGCAGGATATTCTCGAACCAGTTGGCGGCTCCAAGAATTTCATGGCCTTTGGAGGTGGTCTGCGGCTATGCGTTGGTGCTGACTTTGCCAAGCTGCAAATAGCTATCTTCCTTCACTGTTTAGTCATCAAGTACAGGTACTGTGTCTGTGTTTAAGGACCTATTTAGATCATCTATAATCAGTTGTTTGTCTACTAGTTACTAAACTAATTTTTAAATTTTCTTATGAAGGAATTATATTTGCAGTTATGGTTATATTATCAATATAGACATGTCAAACATTTTAGTTAAATTACATAAATATATCTAAAGTAATAATCCATATAAATTACAGGTGTGGTTATATGGTTTAGATAATTTAGTATCATTAGTATATGAGTTGTTAGGAAAATATTTTTTATATGATGAAACATAACATATTATTTTATTGCTCATGATTGTTGGAACGACTTGTATATTTACATTAATTAAATTTTACTATATCAATATTAATAGATGTATATATATATATATATATATATATATATATATATATATATATATATATATATATATATATATATATGCTCTATTCATTATCTAAACAACTTTTTTGTAATAAGAGAAGTCAATAATTTAGATGTAGATTTGAGGGGGTATTTATTTTTTCTAATAATACGATGAAAACTGAGTTAGAGCAAGGATAATAATACAACCGGCTGCTGGCTGTATGAATTCTTGCAGCCTACCTCTCTTAACCCACTTATATAGTAGTTACATCTTCACTGTTAATACATGGTCCATTTGTCCCCTTCACAAAATTTATTGGTTCTTGTGTCCAAGCCAGCTATAAACTTATGGCCCGCTTCTCCTTCTCTCTCCTCTACTAGCCCTTGTTATACTTGCTCTTATGTAAATTATCGATCATAATAAGAGGACATTAGTACTTAAATGCAAATTTAAGTCTACTTTAGATCATGTTTCTTAATGACATATGTGGGCAATATAAATTAGAGTTATGAGTTAGTTTATATTGTTTACACAATAGCAGAAGTGGATAATTATTTATAAAATAGAATAGATCCAATAGGTATTATATTCTAGGATCTATCTTTAATTTGTTTTCCTATCAAGTCTTGTGATGATTAACATGCAAGCTCTAGTGGGGACCTCTAGTTAGAATTTCTAGTATTTATCATTTTTTTTCTATTGTGACATGTATTTAGTTGAAATCTACTCATAAGATATATAAACTCTTGATACAATCCTTTTTGTGACTTAGTAAATCTATAGTTTATATTTTAACTTTTAATCAAGTCGTTGCAATTTTGTCACATGTTAATTAGAAATTCTAGTATTCTTTATCTTTTATTCAAAAAAATTATTAAAAAGAGTTTAGGTTCTAATAGTATTGTTTTTCACATAAGTTAAAACTAGGCTTGCATCCCGACACTAAACATGTTGAATGTGTTATATCATAGGATTATATGTGTATAGTATTATTTATATACCATAGTATGCATAAAATTAAATTAATAATATTGTATGACGTAATGTTCAGTAAAAATATATAAACTTATTTAAAATAATAACTTATAATTTTTTTATCATGGAGTACTAATATAAAGTGTTGTTTTGTTAAGTGAATATTTTTCCATGTTTCATAAGTTGTTAAAATAAATATTTATCCTAATGTATACATGTTTATTTGATATACACGGTGAAATATAGCGTTATAATTATTTTATTTCACGATTATAAAAGTCTGTAAGTAAGATATATGCATCGTACTTTATGGATATTGATTTTTTTTGGTAATAATATATATATTACTATTTACGTGTAGATGTGTGTAATTTAGATACAAAGCTAGAGGATTAGATTATCTTTGATGATGATAAAGTTGGGTAATTTAGATGCAATGTTAGGGGGTTATTTTAAATTATGTTTCATAATGGACAAGGTCGTAATGTAGATATAAATTTAGTGGGTTAATTTAAATTATCTTTTGTAATGGCAAATGTGGGTAATTTACATGGAAAATTAGAGGGTTACTTTATGTATTTTTCATAATAGCAGTGGTGGGTAATTTTTTAATGAGATACAATAGATCCAATGGCTATTATCAATGAAGATGATTAGAGTCTACCAAATCAAAGGCCAAATGTGTTTCTGATTATTGTGAGAGTTTATAGGATTTATCTTTTTTATAGCGCGTCTGATGAGAATTAACGTGGTGCTTCTGTTGGGCCTCTAATTAGTAATAGTAAGGGCATGTTTGGCATGCCTCCTCTCTAGCTCTGGCTCGGACTCTGGCTCTGGCTCTAGCTCTGCCAAACGTTTTCTTGTAGGAGCCATTTTTCAGTAACAATCGGAGGAGCCTCTCAGGAGGAGTCATGCCAAACACCCCTTAAGATTGTATTTATTATAGACACATATACCACTTTGTGTGCGCCATTTTAAGTGTAAGTTTTATTGGAGTGTCACCAGGACACCGTATGAAATTTACGAGAAGAGAGAAGGCTTGAGTTTGACCAGGGTGAAACATGATGTAGAAATTAAATTAAACTGGAAATAAAACTCCAGTGGAAGTAACTCGATTCAACTCCATGAATTACGACCTCAACGTACATCATAAAAACATTAAATGCTTTTGGACAACCAATAAAACCGTGAAGTAAAATTGTGCACCAACAAAGGAAATACTCCGATCCACTGGGAACTAAACCTCTAAAGACGATACGACACTCTTGACAATCGTCCATTATTGAGAACTGCCTAGGGCCCCATTCGGTTAGCCTCATTCCGGGTTGTTCTTGGCTGGAACCGTTCCTAGGTTATTTAAATTATCAAAGGAAACGTTGGCTGGGAATCGTTCCCAAGCAAACCGAACGAGACCTAATATATGGATAATTTAATACTCCAGTATAAGTACATATACCACCGGAAAAAATATATATACTGCTGCGACTTTAGTTATTTACCAACCAGGTGCCATATAGGCAATTTAAGATAATTTTATGTAAGTGAGCCACCAGCATCTAATAAGGTAAGTGCCGGCCGACCGTCGACGTCGTTGGCTCGTTGCATGCAGGTTGGGGCCCATCTTCCGGACGAACATAGTCGGCGAGGACCTGATCGTGTCACTGGACCCGGAGCTGAACGCGCGCGTGCTGCAGGAGGAGGAGCGTGGCTTCCAGATCTGGTACCCCTCCTCTTTCGTGCGTGTCTTGGGCGCTAACAACATCGTCTCCATGCTCGGCCCGCTCCACCGCCACATTAGGAACCTCGTGCTCCGCCTCTTTGGGCCCGAGGCCCTCCGCCTGGTGCTGCTCCATGACGAGCAGCGGAGCGCGCGCGACGAGCTCAGCTCACGGCTCGACCGCCCGGACGTCGAGGTCAGGACGGCCACCTCCAGGGTAATACTTCTAGGACGGCGTGTGTCGTTTATGCTTTTGCATCATGCCACCATCGATCGATCTGTGCGCGCGTGCATATGATATTTGGCGTCACGGCAAAGAAGCTGATCAGCCACGACGACGTGGCATCAGGAGGAAGCCTGTGGAAATGCTTCGACGCCTACACCAAGGGGCTGTTGTCATTCCCAATCTGCGTTCCTGGAACAGCCTTCTATAAATGCATGCAGGTACATGCATGATAAGCAACGTGACTTGACACCGTCTGATCGAGTTTAATTAAAAAAAACTCAACCTGCGGGAGTCAAACTTAGGACCAGAAGAGTGCTACTCATGTCACCTAGCCACTTCATCTATAATCTCCAACAATATTACATATATAATATATCCACAGGGACGCAAGAACGTCAAGAACGTCATGCTAGCAGCTCGATGAGCGCAGGAACGCAGCCGAGCGCAAGACCGTGGATTTCTTCGATCTTGTGATCGATGAGATGAAGAAGCCAAACCCTATAATGAACGAGAACATCGCGTTGGACTTATTGTTCTTGCTCCTGTTTGCAAGCCACGAGACGACGTCGATGGGACTGACCGCGATACTCAAGTTTCTAACGGACAATCCAAAAGCCTTGCAAGAATTGACCGTAAGTAAACGCTTTATCGCCACAACAACTCTTTTGTGTCAGCCAAAGATGTATTTCATGTGAAATGTTTTCAGGAGGAGCATGAAAAAATCATGGAAAGAAGGGTGGAGTCAGACTCGGATATCACCTGGGAGGAGTACAAGTCTATGAAATTCACATCTCATGTATGTGCTATATATAGAATTGTAAAAAACAAACAAAAACTCTCAAATGTATCTCTGGTCCATGGAAGAATCCAATCCAATAGTTATCTGGCACCTGATATACTTTCTACATCGCATATATATAGGTTATAGCAAACATCGCTCCGGTGGTGTTCAGACAATCAAACCAGGACGTACACATAAAGGGTATGTATATATGCATTTGATTTCCACCATGTGCAGTAAAAAATTTTCTACTAGGGTATGGTATTCCTATAGGAATAGATCAGTGTATATATCCTCACTTTGAACTTATGCACTCAGGGTACACTATCCCAGAAGGATCAAATATCATGATCAGTCCATCTGCTGCGCACCTGAATTCAAAGGTTTACGATGACCCCTTGGCATTCAATCCATGGAGATGGAAGGTATGTGAAACTCATACTTAGAAACAAGTAATAATTGACCTAAATAGTTTTAAAATATCATGTCCTCAACTGTGTTCTCAGTGCAAAGTGCTGTTTTGATGACATATGTTTACATGCTACAGGATACTCCTGAGCCAGTTGGTGGCTCTAAGGATTTTTTGGCCTTTGGGGGTGGTTTGCGGTTATGTGTTGGTGCTGAGTTTGCCAAGTTGCAAATGGCTATGTTCCTCCACTGCTTGGTCACCAATTACAGGTAAAAGAATATGAATATATCTGGACCATACAGATGATGATGTACAAAAGCCTCAAACTGTATAACGATGCTAATAATACCATGTTTTTTTTTAATATAGATGGAAAGCCCTCAGCAAAGGGACGATGATGCTTTATCCCAGGCTACGATTTCCGGACGGCTTTCACATCCAGCTTCATAAGAAAACATGAAATGTTGCTAGAAAAGATCACTTGCGTGTGGTATTAAAAGTATGCTCGTTAGTAGTTGTGATCAAATAATTAAATACCATTGAATATAAGTAAGTTTTGGGTCAGTATATAAATGAATGAATGTACTAATAAACCTTATTAAAAAAGCAAACTAGAATAAAACTCTTCAACACCATCAGCCTATTGTGAGCTGCTCAAAGCATGAGCTATAAGTTACAATGTCGAAGCGTCACTGCCAAATATGAAGGGGAAAGTAGGAAAAAAGTTTAAAAAAATTAGAAAATGGTGTAGTATGATTTTCCATATTTTCCAAGATGTATACCTATATACCGAATGTTGTAATGTAATGTGTGTAATTGTTTGAGCTTATATATAATAATGAAAAGTTTAGCTATGGTTTGGTGAATTGTAATTTTCCCTTTTCCAAATAATTTGAACCTCGAATTGAATAGTAGAAGTTTGTCTCCATTAAAATCCTGGCTTTGAATCAAACCATTTGGTGAATCCTTCTTTTCAGTTGCGCGCCATCAAAATTTAATTTCATCTTTCTGGTAGCCCAATAAGGCTTATATTCTAGCTCTACTTGTAGATGACACTCATAACCGAACTAATATGGTTGTCACAATAGGTGGTGTCTTGAGAGGGGTCCTATAATAAGCCCATATTGATCTGCTCAATTTCTTAAACCAATCTTTTCCTCCTTTTAACCATTGTCTTCTTCAGAATATTCTTCCGTTGTTGATTTGATGTCTCTGTTGTTCATGTTCCGTGGATGATAAGGAATGGTGCCTTCGTTCTCAATTCCCAACTTGGATAATTAAGAATATGGTTAAAACGTCTCCAATAAAATGAGAAACTCTATCAATAATCACTACTCTTAGAACACAATATCTTGGAAAGATAACTCCCCTCATCATTTCAATTGAATGTTCTATTGAAGCACATAGGCTTGGCATAGCTTCCACCCATTTTGAAACATAATCCACTACAACCAAGACATATTCATAGCCATGTCATTTTTTAAATGGTCCCTTTTTGGAAGTGGTCTGCGGCTGTGCGCTTGGTGATGACTTTGCAAGTTGCAAATGGTTATCTTCCTCCATTTGTTTAGTCATCAAGTATAGGTACTGTATTTAGGGCATGTTTGTATGGGCTTCTTGAGAGCTTTTGGACCTTCCAAAAGCCAAAAAAAAAAAAAAAAACGGAAGTCAAAAAAGTCTTAAGCTCCTCAAAGTGAGCTTTACAAGGTTTGGTGAGCAAAATCGAGGAGCAACGACAGTGCTGGGTGCTGATGGCAAGCAGCCGCACGCCACGCACCCACGACGCTGCTCATGACATTTCATCGAACAGATTGCGTTCGCAGCACAGCCGAAGTCGAATTTGGCCCAGGACATCCCAGTCACGGTCCGTGATGCAGGCGGTTTCAGCGCATTGCAGCCCGCGACAGAGTTTTAAATTTTGATCGAAGACCGTAACGGACTATTAAAAAACATTGATTTACTTGGTCTGAGAGAGGAAGAAAGAGCAGGGAGATGAAGGCACCTAGACCGATGTCATCGCTCAAGGTTTGGTGAGAGGTGGCCGCGCTCGAGGTGGTTGTCGCACCGATGCCACCCCACCGAGTCCGATCCGGCCACACTTGGTCACTGGCACCGGGTAAACTGCGCTCAGGTCTGCTCCGCCAAGTCTATCTGATAGGTTCCGTTGTGTCAGGGTGCTTGAGGCCGCCGCGTCAGGGTGCCCGAGGCCGCCGAGCTCGACCACTTGCCCGGATCATGCCAGGGCCCAGGCTGCCACTCTTGGCCACCCGTGTCGTGGTCGGTCACCCTCCATGGGAGAGAGGGGGAGGAGTAAAGAAAGAGAGGGTGGGAGAAGAGATAGAGGCTTGTGAGAGAGAGATAAAGGTTGGTGGGCCAATCGATCCATATCCTTGCACGGACACAAGTTACGGTGCGACACATGGGTGTGTGGGCCCCATTTGTCAGCCACTCTCAAGAAGCACACATAAAATTAAATAGAGAGAGCACATGTTTTCACCAACAACTTGTTGTACAAACCATCGGTAAAAATAGATCTGATTTCCACCGACGCCTTGTATGATGAAACCGCTAGTGAAAATGGATCCATTTTTTATCGAAGGTCCGTATAACAAACCGTTAGTGAAAATCATCACCAACAATTTTAATAAAAACCGACGGTAAATATCGTTGGCAAAAACTATTTTTGTTGTATACTGCAGTGAACAAGGGAACACATGGGAACTCATACGTCTGCAGAACTGTGGAAAGTGAAAGTCCGGTGAAATTGTCCCGGAGAATGATTGACCTTCGATCCGGGCCGGCCCATGTCGGCAAGCATGACGACAGGACAGCAACACAGACGACTGAGGACCTCGCAGGTGCGCTGACGAGTGAGGGACTGCCCCAACGCAGGGAACAATTGCGTGAACCCGCCCTGTTTTTGCACGGTGAATCTGTGGCGGCAAAAAACACGCCCACAACGACTAGTCCGACCGTCGCCGGGAAACGAAACTTCCATGGCGCAGCACTCGATCTTGTCACTTCTGCAGCGGCATGCAGGAGCAGAGACGACCGGCTGTGCACTTGGGCTCCCTGCCTGCCACGGATCCAGATCGGCGAGATGCATGCATCATCGGATAGGAGCTGGCAGCAACCCATAAGCAGCTCCGATCCGACGACGTTCGGAGTAGGCAGGGAAGCACCAGCAGTCCAGCACCAACGGCCGAGAGGCATATCTATCTAATCGAGCACGTCGTCCACGGCCGCGCGACGACTGCCTGTACATGTTGAGAAACAGACACGGACCACGGAGCCACTACCAGGACTTGGTACGTCGTCTGTGATCTGACGACCCTGATAGGAATGTTACTAATTTCACTCGCTTTCTCGGGCCCTTATCTCTTCGCTCATCTAGTGCTTCTACTATTCATTCATCACGCAAAAGCGAGAGGCGACTCCGTTTCCACTGCGACAAAATGGAACGACCGGCCGCAATTCGTTGGCGCTGGCCCTGCCCCTGCCCCCCCTGCCCCTCCGCCAACGTCTCGCCACTTTGGGCAGGCAGATTTTGTTTTGCCCTTGGCTGTTTGGTTTTTCTCACCAGCAGTGACACCACAGCTTGCACGGAGCCAAATTAGGTGTCACCTGCATATATTATGTTCATTTATTTACAACCTTATATACTAAATTTAGAGTTGGGTTTTTCCACGCCTTCGCCATATTTATATTCAACAAATATATATGTTTCTTATGCGTGGTTGCCCATGACATAATGTTTATTTTCTTGTTTAGGTTGGTCTTGGGAGTTGGAAAAAATTCTCTGTGGCACCGTCGCATAGCATGCATCTTGTGGTTGTCCATGACACCTTCACAATTTTCTTCTCTATGCTTTAGTTATTTTCTCTGGAAGTGCTGCCAAATTCTTAGAGAAACTTTTTATATCCTTTCTAATTTATAGGAATTATAGATTATATGGTAGAATAATGCACTTCCAGCCTTTTTAATTGGACGTTTAAATATATGCATCATATATTCTGGATTTCTCGCTAACCAAAAATAGAGAACGATGTGGTTTTGTAGAATGCGTACAATATATAGAAAAACTGTTCGAGGGTATAAAGATATAGAAAGTAATTTTTATTCAAATGACTCTCCAAATCTCCAAATATGATTTAGATAATAATTTTTAGAAAAAAATGGAGATGCTATTATACTCATATTTTTTCTGAGGAACAATATAATGATGTTACATAAACGTGGCTTCTAGTTTCTTAAGTGAAGATGCTGTAATAATTATATAATGACACTGCGATGCACAACATACGTGATCGATACAGTAGCTCTACTAGTAGGAGTAGAATATATATATATATATATATATATATATATATATATATATATATATATATATATATATATATATATATATATATATATATATATATAAGTACACTACGTGTACATCTGCTTTGACACCAATGATTAATCCCCAGAGTTTTTTAAACTCACTTTCAAAATCATTATTTGGATAGTTATTTGAATAAATTGCTCTCTATATATTTTTATCCTCCGACAACTTCTCTATATCTTATGCGTACTATAGAGAGCTAACTCCACTCTCCATCTTTATTAGCTAGCGAAAAATTTGAAATAGAGGATGCCAATATATCTAGAGATTCATTAAAGAAGCCGTTGGAGTTTTTTTTTCTTCTACAAAATCTATATTTCTATCAATTAGGAAAGATATAAAGAGACTCTTGCAGTTTCTCTTAGGGCACCCGCGATGGTATAAGCCAGTTACTAGCTCTAAGCCAACCTCTCCAATAATGCTAGCTTTTAGCAATGACTCATAGTATGATTAGGTCCACATGACACTCACATGATCTTGGAACATTGGTATGAGCCTAGCTCTTGATTAAGAGTTACAGTAGCTTTTCTCTCTCTTCTACTAAAATATAAAAAAAATACTTAGAGCTAGCTTATTATGAGTCAGCCATTGCAGGTGCCCTTAGTTGTTTGACATTGTTTTGCCGCCTCACTCTTCCCAAGCCTTTGGTAGGAGTGTGGGCATTGTTTGCAGTGCATATAAAGTTGGAACTAAACTGTTAAACATCTTTGTAGTCCGTTGCTATTTAATTTTGTAATGGAATTCAAGGGTTCCACTGTGGGAAAACCCATTGGTACACTTTACTTTAAAATGTTATATCCCTTCAGATAATTTAAATCTCCTTATAAAGTAGAAATTTTCATCAGATAAGTTAAGTCCCTTAAAAACTAGAAATTTTCAACGTCAAATCTGCATGTAGGGCCACCGTATATTATTCTACCTCTAGCCTTCTTCTTGCTTCTCTAATGCGTTTTTCTCCCCCCAACAAGTGTAACCTCTTGCACCTACTTCACCCTCCTCACCTCTCAAATGATTCTATTGTTGGATCCACAATGGCTCCCTAAGTCCCTATTAGAGTGCACGGTTAGAATTAG